AAGGGCGTGTGCTGACCAGCTGGCAGGGATCGTCACCAAGCTGTTCAACTTGTCCCTAACACATGCCATCGTCCCACAATGCCTAAAGGCCGCCACCATCATCCCCATCCCCAAAAAATTAAACATAGACAATCTTAATGACTATAGACCCATAGCCCTCACATGTTTCATTATGAAGGTTTTTGAGCAACTAGTCTCACAGCATATCAGAGACTGCCTTCCACCCTCTTTTGATCAGTATCAGTTTGCTTATAGAGTAAACTGATCTACTGAGGACGCCATTGTCATCACACTTCACAGAGTGCTGAGTCACCTGGAGAACAAACAGAGCTACCTGAGGATGCTCTTTGTGGACTATAGCTCTGTGTTTAATACCATCATTCCAGACATATTAGTCACCAAACTGCTTAATCTGCAGGTCCCCACTCCCACCTGCATCTGGATGAAGCACTTCCTCACAAACAGACCACAGTCTGTTAGACTCGGCCCCCACTACTCCTCTACTCTCACACTCAGCACTGGTTCCCCTCAGGGCTGTGTCCTGAGCCCCCTGCTGTACACCCTGTACACCTATGACTGCGGATGATACTACAGTGGTTGGTCTCATCTCCGGTGGGGATGAGACGGCATACAGGGCTGAGGTAGAGAACCTGTCTGTCTGGTGTTCACAGAACAATCTGTCACTGAACATCCGTAAAACTAAAAAACTGATTATGGACTTCAGGAAACACGGACAGGACCATGCTCCGCTCATTATAAACGAAGAATGTGTGGAATCTGTCTCCACCATCAGATTCCTTGGCATCCAGATCTCAGCTTATATTTCCTGGTCCCCCAACATCAAGGCTATAGTGAAGAAAGCTCAGCAGCGGCTGCATTTCTTGCAGGTCCACAGGAAAAACAACTTGGACAAGAAGTTGGTGCTGTCTTTCTATCATGCCTCTGTGGAGAGCATTCTCACATACTGTTTGGGTGTGTGGTATGCAGGCTCCACAGTTGAGGACAGGAAAACTGCACAGAGGGTGAGGGAGGAGAAACAAAACACAAAAAAAAAAAAAAATCATCGGCTGTCCTTTGCCCTACCTCGACAACATAGCTAGGTGCCGCTGTCTCAGCAGAATCAAGGCCATCACAGGAGACCCTTCACACCCTGCTCATCATTTTTTTGACCTGTTGCCGTCTGGACGGCGCTTCAGGTCAATAAAATCCCATACCACCAGACTAACTAATAGCTTCTTCCTCTGGGCCATTCGATTTGCAAATAAACACTAAACAACACTACCTCTTTCAGATGTGTAATATTACTGTGGAATTTCATTGTGCACTTTATATGGTAAAGGCATACAGATGGCGCCGGATGTGTAGATATTTTGTAAATATTGTATTTATTTTCTAAACTGCGTATTTGGATATGTGGGTATTTTAATTCATTTTTATTTCTTGTGCTCTTGCTTATCATGTATTGTGAACTGTTGTTGGGGTGCATTCACAGTTTCGTTGTACTTTATTGTACAATGACAATAAAGTTCTATTCTATTCTATACCTTACTTTGTAAAGTGTCCTGAGAAAACATTTGTTATGATTTGGTGCTATACAAATAAAATTGAACTGAATTGAATTACATTACCCCTCCTTGAACCGCCACCTTATTGTGGTGGAGGGGTCTCGCAAAGGCTAACAGGTCCTGGGTGAAGGGTCAGACTAAGAGCGGT